GGGGGGGGGGGGGGGGGGTGGGGGTCATCCTATTCTCCAAAAAGAAGCAATGGATGGAAGCTTCTAAGGAGAATTTTTCCTGGCAGTGAGAATAATTAACCAAGTGGAACAACCCTCGCCTCCCGAAGTTGTGAGTGGAAGTTTTTCAGAAGAGATTAGACAACCTTTGGTTTGAAAAATGGGATAGGGTTTCTTGCCTGAGCGGGGAGTTGGACTAGATGACCTCCGGGTCCCTCCCAACTCTTGTTCCATTCTGTTGATGATGCTCTTCGGGTGGTGTTTCCTTCTCTAGTTCTTGACCGGCTTGCTGTTGACCATCCTGACCGACATCATCCACTTCAGCCTCTGCTACCACCTGGTGGTGCTGACCGATACCATGCGCTTCTGTACCGGCATGGCTATTTTTAGCCTCCTCCTCAAGCCCCTGTCCTGCTTCTTTGCCTACCAGATGTACAGAGAACGGGGCGGGGAGTATGCCCTGAACCTCGGTAAGCTGGGAAACCTTCGCGCCTCCTAACCCCGGTTCTGGGCCTAGTCCAACCTCCCTCGGAGTGGGATTTTTCATCCACTTGGTTTGTCTTCCTGCACAATGTCCAGTGAAACTCCCCATTTCCATTCAGCACTCGGAAACCAAGTTCATTCAAGTAAGGATTTAGTAAAGGAAAAGGTTTTCCTTGCGCATACGTGCTGGTCCTTTCCGGCTCTAGGGGGCGGTACCCATATTCGTCACAAAGCCAAAGAGCCAGCGCTGTCCGAAGACGTCTCCGTAGTCATGTGGCTAGCATGACTAAACTTCGAAGGCGCACAGAACGTCGCTGTTCCCTTCCCACCAAAGTTGGTCCCTATTTTTCTACTTGCATTTTTTTACATGCTTTCGAACTGCTAGGTTGGCAGAAGCTGGGTGTCAGGATTCCGGCACTTACCCCCCCATTTAAATCATGATTCTTGAGCCAGACTTCCAAAACTTCAAAAGGATTTATTGGGAGTTAAACAAGTCCGGCACTGCCTGGGTGTAGCTGACTCTGAGACACATCATTCATTGTCACCCTTGACCCTGGTTTTCCCTCCATACCCCCTGGGTGTATCATAGTTCATATTCTCCAATGGGACGCATCCAGAGCCAAGAGTCATCAATCATGCTCTCCAGTTAGAATTTTGCGTGGCAGAAACTTCGGTCACCTGGTTACTATCTTTGAAAACATTTATGGAATGCACTTTCAGTTTTGCAAGCTGTCGCACTGCTTCCTGCTCCCTTTCTATTGGCAACTCTAAAAGACCATAGAATTATTTTATGAGTTGACACTGGGACAAGTAACGGGAGCTCACTCCGTGATGCGATGCTAGGGATTCGAACCTCCCAAACTGCCGACCTTTCTGATCGACAAGCTCAGCGTCTTAGCCACTGAGCTTAGGAATTTATTAAAATTCTTAATAATTCTCAATAATTCCCTGGGAATTTGGGAAGGGGGATTTTTTCAGTGAGTAGAAAATTAGAAAATAGTAGAAAATCAACAACATTCTTTCTTAGAAGTCAAGGGCAAGTTACCCTGCACCTGGAGAGGAGTGACTGGAGGGAATGTCTCCAGTTGGGAGGGTGTTTGATTGGCCCATGTGATGGACTGATGGGTGCAGGGGGATGGATCTTTGCATTTCTTTGGGGGAAGGGAACGCCTGGAACTCTCACATTCGGGTTTTCCCCAGATGTGCCAATATGCCAGCCTCGAAGCTTCCTAAGTAAAATACGGGTTCCATGGCTGACACACAACTGGGAACGGTGGGTTGTTGTGCTTGCTATTCCAGCTTTCTACTGGCCCTCATTTGCTCTGCTTTACCTGTTTCCGTCGTGTGCACCAAGCCTGTTCTGGGGGGGTCTTTTAATTGGGTTTTCTTCCATTGCAGAGCTGGAGAGCCCACCGGACAGCTGGTTGATCTGGGATAGTAATGTTTCCAACACTTTGCCTCTCCGGCGTGGCTTTTGAAGTCTACTTTCCCTTTAATTTATTGTTTCCCTTGGGCTGTGGCTTGCTGCCTGCAAAGTACCTCCTCCTTTTCCTCCTCTTCTATCTTCTTCATTTCCTTTCCTCCTCCTCCTTCTCCTTTATCACTTTCTCCACTTCTCTTTCGCCTTCATCTTCTCTTTCTCCTTCAGTTTTCCTTCTCCTCCATCTTTTCTTCCTTTTCTGTCATCTTCTCTTCCTCCTCATTCTTCTCCTTGATTTCTTTCTCTGTCTCCTTCTCCATCTTCTCCTCCATCTTGCCTTTCTCCTTCATCTTTTCTTTCATTTTCTCTTCCTCATCCGTGTTCTTCTTCAACTTCTCCACCTTTTCTTTCTCCATCTTTTTCTTCCCAACTTATCCTTCTCTTTCTCCATCCTCTGCTTCACCTTCCCTTTCTCCTTCATCTTCTCCATTGTGTTTTTCTCCCTCTTTTCTTTTATCTTCTCCATCTTCTCTTCCTCCTCCATCTCTTTCTCCTTTGTCTACTTCTCCATCTCCTCCTTTACCTTCCCTTTCTCCTTCATCTTTTCTATCCATCTTCCCCTTCTCCTTCTCTTTCTCCTTCATCTTCTCTTCCACCTTCTCTTTCT